CAAACACAGCCAGGCAAGCGATGGTTGCTTCCAGTAAGCGGCTAACGGGATCGGTTGACCAGTTATCGCTTGTGCTATTCCCAGAGCCAACGCCTAACAAACCTTGTTGCCAGTCGCTTGTCGTCTTTATAGCATACATTGCGGATGATTTCATCTGTTACTTTGTCAACTCTTCTAGCTTGTGCTGAGTACTCAGAGGTACATGCAGTCCTCTTCAGTCTTCTAGCTACATGCTGTTATTAACATGCACCTTTGCAAAGTTTGTCCGCTGATATCAAACGGATGTTGAACTTTGGCGTATGCTTCGCTTATAATGGCCTCAAATGTCACTAAATTTCCACACTGCTCATTCACACGAATTTTCAATCAACCCTTTATGAAAGGTCTGCTTCAGTTACAGTCGCAAGCTGTATTTTGTTAGTTTGTCTGTTTGTTTTGATTTGTTCAAAATAAAGTCGGTCTCTCCATAACTTCACACTCGGGCGCTGACAGCGGTAGCGGACACTGATAGCGGCACACTTTAGTCAACCGTGCCGTCTGTCCGTTCCCAAATTTATTAGTTGTTACTCATTAACTCCCTGCCGACTCCAGCAGTTTATCAGCGACGTTATCTAAAGCGTCCTTTCGATTTCGCCGGCACTGCAAATTATTCTGCCGTCGAAATGAACGAATAAAGCTAAAGATAGCCTGACTGCTTGTCTTCATAGAACGTGCTGATTGCTCGCGCGCTGGCAGTCGCTTATACCGCTAATGAAACAGTCAATCCTATACCTGTGAAAATTTAAGGTAGCCGAACCGTCGAACGGCACGTGGCCTTTTTCAGAAGCCAACGCCTTTAAGGAACAGAGGTGGGGTGTTTATCATGTGGATATTTTGTATTTTTCAAAACATCGTCTGTCAAGTATATGCACTAAAATAAATTACTGAACAATCTGGGTGGGAAATGTTGGGACCTCCCGCGTGGTAAATGCTAATGTACGAAGGGAAACAATAATGAAGTGTTTGTCAACTATGACGCGGATAAGGCACATGGATACGGCGAGGGTAATGGAAAAGTTGCTGTCAATAATTTTCCCACGAATGTTCTTTAATTATTCCTTGTTTGTTTTGCAAAACACCCCTCTAGTCCTCTTCTCGTACGCATTACTAAAATCGATAAAGTCGGCCCACTGTTTAAGCACGTTATTAATTTAAGTTTATTTCCTTATAAATTACAAAACCCTTAGAATGTTTTGGTCTGTTTTTATTTTGGCTTTTGCCGAGAGACTACCTATAAAGCATAATTCCATAACTGTTCATCTGCGTACGAGACCACGGCATTGCGCTGTTCTTCGTACGCATTTTAGTTTTTGGGAAGTGATTGGTCAATTTTTGCATGACATTTCCCTTTTAGGTCGGGTAATATTTCAGTTTTCTATAAATTAAAAAGTTTATAGCGAGCATTTGACAAAAGCCTTTATATTTACAACTTGAGTTTTTATGTATTAACTGAAGGACACAAATTACAAATTCTAAAATTTGTGCACGTTATTTTTCCTATCCAAGGGTTCCAGACGCGCGCAATCAGGGGTAAACTTTTAGGCTCTATTCCGACTCTTATGAAGTGTGGACTCATTAGACACATTGCGCATGCCCATATAATGTTAAGTAGGCCAGGGACCGTGACCTGTGAGCGTTAGACTCTATAATTATCAAATAGGAGTCAAAATGTCATAAGAAAGGGGTAGTGTTCAAAAACAAGTTAGTTCCTTTAGCATCTTTTGAAAACCATCTTGACTCCCGACCAAAAGCAAATGTGTATTTGTCTCATGGATACAAACTAATGTAATGAAAGGAAAGATCATGTTACATTTAACGCAAGGCTGGGAGACATTAACTAATCTCGGTAGCCCGACAGTCGCCTGTGAGAGGCATATTTCACAAGTACATGCTCACATGTACAGGAGTCCCGCCCGTAGTTTCAGACAAAACAAACGAAGAGGGTTGAGAATTGTTGGACAAAATATCGAAGCCGTTCATTAATTGAAAATCCAGGGCAGTCGATACTTATTTGCAAAACATGATCCACTATGAAATCGAACGCACTTTGGAATCTTTTAAAATCAAATAGCATTCGTTTGCAAGGGATGTGGGCAATCAGCTTTTTTCGTAAAGGGAAGAGATAAGTTATTACTAACCTTGACTAAAGGATCAAAGGACTATCCAGAAGTAATCAGTTCCGGTGAATATAATATCGTTGATTTTGCCGGCTGTTTGGAAGTAGTTCTCTGTGGACAATGTAGATGAGTTTGTATAAATGATGCCTACAGTAGATTCCTTGGTCTATGATGAAAGAAAGCTCATGGAAATCTAATTTCGTCCACCCTTAATCTAAACTGTCGTCTGTCTGAGTGACAGAGGAAGATAATTTCCGGTTGGGTCGCTAACAGCTCTTGTAATGTGAATAAGTCATCAACCACCTAGCACTGCCCAGCAAGACGAATAGAGA